AGCCGAGGCTCTGGCGGCATCTGAAGAAGCATCAGCAAAGAGTCGTCAACTTGCGGCCGAACTTGATGTACAGCGACGCAACAATGATACTCTTCGGCTGGACATGCAAAAAGCCGCGAACGATGAAAAGCGCCGACTGGAGGAAGCTAAGGCGGAACTGGAACGAGTAAAAGAGCAAGCCAAGGAGCGTATCGTTGCTCAGCATGAAGCTGGGTTTCGCCATGCCCTTCGGCAAGCACAACACTTCGGTCGGAAGTTTTCATTTTATTCAACCCACTGAAAACAGAATACAGAGGGAGCATAGCTACCCTTATTGGTACAGCTGTAAAAAGCTGATTACAAAAATAACAAACTATGACAGCTGGCACAACAAACAATTCTTCAAAATAATGAATTACTCTCTTAAAATCCCCCATCCAAACACACTTTAAATAAATTATCTGTGAGGAAAGTTGGAGTTGGGACCTAGACCCATAAAGTAATCTGTCAAGTTAAATTAGATAAAAATAAATTGCATGATTGAGAAAAATGCATTGATGAACCAAAAGCTCTGCAAAAGGCTAGATAAACTTTGATTCAGCCACCAAGCTTAATCTTAGAACTACAAACATTTGAAGAACTGACTTGTAGCATTTAATGGATGATAAAATCAATATGAGCTTTTCATTGTGATTTTCTTGAAACATCATTAATGAAAATTAGAATGCATGATTGCTTATAATCTGAACTGATGCTTTTGATGTCTCATTCTCTGCCAGAGAAAGGAGAAGTTGTCAGTGCTCATTATAAACTAGTCCCTGCAGATTTGCGTTATGTACAACAATTAAATGATATTATATCTGTTGCTGGTATGGATCCAAGGTATGTATGGGGAGTCAGATCTGTCTCTGCCTGTGTTCTGTCTGTCTGTTTCAATTTCTCTCTCTCTCTCTCTTGTACAGATGTAAGTTGTGAAATTTGTTATTATTCCAATGCAATTGATAATTTATTTGAAGATATCAGACCCTTCTAGGAAAAGAATAAAAAACTCCTTAGAATCTGAAAGTTTAAATAAATAAGGATTACAAAGACTTAGCTGTACTGATATCTTATCCTTTGCTTCTTCTGTACTTTTCTTTCTCGTCTCTAATGAATTTTGTCTCTTATATTGTTTTAATAAAAGATAATGCTTCTGATTTTAATATTTGGGCCACAGTATTGTGGTTCATTAACAGCTTAAAATTATACAACTTAAAAAAGTTCCTTAATGCCTGTGCCATTGATAGAGTTAATTTGTTTCTTAGATAAATTTCAGAGAGAAAATGTTAAACTGGAAATGAAGTTTTCATTTTATTCAACCCACTGAAAACAGAATACAGAGGGAGCATAGCTACCCTTATTGGTACAGCTGTAAAAAGCTGATTACAAAAATAACAAACTATGACAGCTGGCACAACAAACCTACTAGAATATTCTATTGTTATAACAGAATGAAAAAGTAATATTTGTCATATTACACTTACACTCTAATATTGTTATTTTTAAATAATAATTTGTTAGAAGTCGCCTGCATCTCTTGGGAAATTGATAAAATATAAATACAAAGATCTCATAGAATCTAGAAGTTTTAAAATTGAAAATGGCTTTGAAGATAATGCTTATAATTGGAAAGCAAATGTGTCCCTTTATACATCTAAGATTTATATATTTAAGAAAATGACGGGAAGAAACCAAATTCAGCCATAAAAGTTCTTAATTTTCACTTTTTTATATTTTCATGCTTCTAACTTGTTATATAAGTGTAGTTGTTATGTTCTGTATCTTATGTTTGCTAAAGACACTAAAGCTGGAGGATTTGATGCTAATATGTAGTCGGATATTCTTTAGTTTTTTTTTCTTAATTTTGTTGGTATGTGTGTGTGTATTTTATTTTAATTTAAAGTTTAGTTAATACTCACACTTTTCATGATCAAGGAATGATAAATTGATTCATTCTGATATTGTTATCAGTCTGCCAACTTTTATAATTTCAGAATGTGTTCTGATCTACTTGGATCCAGATTCAAGTCGTGCAGTTGTTGGTTGGGCTTCGCAAACATTTACTACAGCAGTATTTTTTCTTTATGAGCAGGTTACAGCCTTCATACTTATTTTACCACTACTAGTCTACTATTTTCATAGGAATAAAGTAGGATTTTTTGTGCATTATATGGTACTTTCTTAACAGATCCTCCCAGATGATGCTTTTGGGCAGCAGATGATGAGAAATTTGGAGGTATGGATGTCAAAGTTTTGTTCTATACCATGGTTTTCAGGTTACAATTGATTTATTTCAAATTACCCAGACATATCTGATCTCAAAAGTGGAATTGCTTCTCTCTCTAGCAATGCATTTGAACTTTGCAGTTTTTTCTTCAATTTTTCTAATTGCTGTGCTGTACCTTTGTTTTTGTTAATTATAATACTTTTGAACTTATAAGGGTGTAAGAAGTGTTAGCAAGTTGGAGCCCTAAAAAGACAAACATCATCTGCAATGTCTGAGATTCAAACTGAACTAAAGAATATTTGTGGGAAGGGATTACCTTGGTATGTCAAGTGTTGTCTTAACCAAAGCAGGATGGTCAATTGTGCACTATAGCATTAGACTAGTGTGTCATATGTCAGGCCACTGCAGACTGTTCATCATGTCACATTTTCTTTCCTGGTTGTGAAGCCTGTGATTAAGGATGCTATCTTGGTAAATTGTGTTCGATATGCTGTATAGCGGTAAAAACCCATCTTTTTGACCCCATTTTTTGGAGTTACCAACCCAATATTTTTTGGGTATTTTCATGATTTCTCTCTTTCTCTCTCTATGTCTCTTTTTTTCCTCATCAGAAGCATTACAGGGTTTCTGTTTGGATGCCAAAACACACATTGGTACTTGTGTTTCTATGTAAAATAAGCCACTTTAGTTGGCTCCTTTCTAGGCAGTGACCTACTGCTTGCCAGCATCTAGGTTTTTGGTCTACCTTTGATCTATTCACACATCATAGCTTGATTTCTGTTCTTCTTGAATGTATTCTGCTTTTTACCCATTATTTAATAATCTTCCTTTAAAGGACTTCTTTCCCATGTCCCCCACAATTTTTTTATGACAGGTCTTCTTTTGTGGTCGTTATTCTGATTAAGGAAAAACTTGTATTGAATTTGATTGCTTTAAGACTTACTGCATTAGAGGAAGCTTATTTAATATTTGGTGCTGTCTTTATCTTTCTTCTTATGTTCCTTGACTTTTGTTGCTATTATCTTGTTAGTCTTGTTAATTATTCCTCTGATTGATGGTGATTACTGATCATATGTTGAGATTATCACTTGATTATTAATTATTAGTATGCCTTTGATGTGTTTAAGTCCATAATATGATTTTCCTTTCCTGTTTTGTGTCAGTCTCGAGGTTGTGCTCTATTGGGCATTTATGCTACACCAACTTTACATGCAAAGGAAAAATTATTTCTGGACCAAGGATGGCAGGTATATTTTGTAACTTTTTCTAAATAATACATCATTGGTGTATTTTTTTTTTTTTTGGCATTTGTAATGTATTTTATATGTGATACTTCCTCCGGTCCTTATTATAAGGCATAATTTAGAAGGATATGACAATCCTTTTTGTAAGGCATTTTACAATTTCTATAAAGCATTAGTTTTATTTTTCGTCTTTTGTTCCTATTAAAGATTGTAAGAATATGTACTTCTTGTTGTCGGATAATGAGAAGAGAATTTGAGAAATAAACGTTCTCTCTCTCTCCTCTTAGACTCTCTAATTGTTATATATTAATTTTATCGGTATTGGTGCAAAAGCTTCTCTCTTGAAAATATAATGATTAGTAAGAAGGGTAAAATTGATACATCATGATTTTGTTTTATAAATCCAATAAAATCAACTAACATAATTACTTATATTGATGTGTGATTTAGTTAAAAGTGCCTTATAATAAGGGTTGGAGAGAGTATATGATTTGATTTCTATTTTGCAGAAAACTTTCCAAATAATAATAAAGGAGTCTTTTAGGCATGAATAGCAACAAAGAAGATTAAACTAGAAACAGTTAGCAATCTGCAACTATTCTCTTAAAAATAGGATGGGAAAATTCTCATTTAGAGATTGTCAATAATTTATATATTTTTTTAATCATTGTAGCTACTAGCTAGAAGCCATCTTAATCAATTATCATCAATATCTTAGCTGAGAACAGTAATGGCTGGAAATTCTCATTAAGTGACATTATGCACTAGGAGGACCTCTGCCTGTACTAAGCAATTTATATTAAAAAAATAGTATCACCATATCTTTTTTTCACTTCTGTTAGAGAATATCATCTCTGAATTCAATTTTCTTTCTTTCTTTCAAGTGAGGTTAGTGATATCATTTGGTTGAGGGATTATAGGCTGAGGTGCAGAAAAATGGGTTTGGAAGAAATTTAATCCCTAGTTGGAGTAGCTCCCAGAGTGACTTGGTGCCACTTAACTACCATTTCTATTCTCTTGATATGATGGGTTACATTGAAATTATCATATTTAAAACACATTTTCAGGGTTATTACTGTTCTATGAAATTTCACCTTTTCGTCATTTCAAATCCTATTATAAATGTTAATATTTCATTTTTATGAATCATCAATTCATCATGCTGTGCAGTCTTAATGTGTATTTATTCTATGACTAATATATTAATATTATTATGCTCTTTGTTTTGTGTGGGTATCAGAAATCTGTTGCATGGGACATGCTGAGAGTTTATAACGATTTTATTGATGCTCAAGAAAGACGCAGGTAATCGAATCATACCTAGAAGCTTGTGTATTAAATTTACAGACTCTTGCATGTTTGCTGATGTTTGATGCTAAAGGCAATTAACTAACTAATGGTGTCAATACAATTGACTTATTCTCTTAAAATGGGATGATTCTAATTGTTTGCGACAGCATTAGCCTTGGGGACTGCTAGTGTGTCGTGAAGAGTAAATTTCATAAAACAAAATTGTGGTATCCTCTTCTAGACACTAGTCATTCTTGGTCCTCTTGTTGTTTCTGGTGCAATCGCGTCATACTATATGGCCTTTTCACTTGTGTACTTACAAATTGTATATTTATCTATTTCATACAGTGAGCATTTAATGATACCAATGGATATGTCCGGAGTTATCAAATAAAAAACATAATTAGGATTTGACAGACATTAAACTACTCCAATGTTGGTGGTAATTTTATGAGCTTAAAATTAGTTTCACATTGTTTAGTATGTACGCTGGTGAAATGTAATTATAGGGATGTAGGTGGTGATGGAGGTAAAGATACTAGGAACCACGTAAAAGAATAACATTCTATTATTTATAATGGTGGGATATGATGTGATGCAAAATGCAAAGTTCTAACCCTTGAACTAGTTCTATGCTTAAGTTTTAATACTAACTAAATAAGGGAACTTTGGCTAGTCCTTTGTCTACTCTTGGGTAAATACGGCAATATCATCATTGCTGCCGCCCCACTCTATGCAATTGAGAGACATGATGGAAGGATCTAATACCAATTGATAAGAACCTTTGAGGAAACTGTACCATAAAAGTCGGCCATTATAGTTAAGGAGCCCACGGTTTTATAAGTCCTATACTTGAGTCTAGAATCACATACTTTCAACATGGGACTTGAGTCACATACCTAGCAATTGTATCCGAATTCCTTACAAAAACAATTAAGGAAATATAATGAAATATTGAAACCACTCAAAGTGATCATTTAAGATAAGCTAAGATAAAATAACGATTTTTGGTATATTTTAGATATTCTAACAATTCTCTTCAAGCTTAAGCTCACTAAGCTTTAAACTTGTCATAATCAAAGACTACTCATCCACAAGAAATAAAATAAAAATATAACAGTAGGAGGCGACAGCTGTTAGGACTGAGTCAGAGCAACAAACTTTAAGGGAACAACGTTATACAAAGAGTTAAGGGTCAATCTGGTAGTTAACTGGGTCAATTTGTAACTGTGATTTGGGAAGCTGACTTCATTAAATCAGTTAGTCTGATGTGGATCCCATAAACAAGCCTTCTATTGTTTTGAGGAGGCAGTTTTTATATAATCTTTCTAGCCGGCCGTTTCCAGCGTGAAAAGGAGAGTGCTCCTTTTGTGGATATACTTGTATACCTTGGTTCTTGGTCTGTAATCAGTTTTTTGTAATAAAGGGAGGAAATTCGGAATCTTTTTCTGTGTGTGCAATTACTCTCTGTTAGGATTTATTGTTTCTTGCGCTAAAAAGAGGATCCTAACAGCATCTAGGGCTAGAAGTGTGGCTGGGCTTGCATCTGGGATTGGGAGTGGAGCAGACCACATCTTGAACAAAACCAGGGGTGTGAGACAGCTACATTTCTAGGACATCTCTCACTGATTTGCTAATTTTGATATATATTATACGTACCTTAAAATATTGTAAGTAAATTGTAACAAATAAAAGCATAATAAAATAATTGAGAATTATATATACACTTAATGTTAACGAACAAATAGATTGTTTCATGTTGGTTCTAATTATTTACAAGTCATGGTGTACAAATATAATATAATAGAAGAGTGGAATTAGCCAAATTTCTTGAGATGGGAAGGGTAGTGGTTCCCCATTAGTTTTGCCTGAGTAGCATCTGCAGTAGTTGCTTTTCTTGATGCTTCCATTTCTTGGCTTCTCTTTTAGGTAAAAAGCCTTTTGCTTGGTTTTTATCCCCACCAAGATTTAACCTGTATAAAGTATTATGTTCTACCAATATCTTATGATGATCAAACGATGGAACTATTTGATTTATGTCAGATACTAAAATTCATATTCACAAGAAAGGCACTAAGGAAGTTCTTCCCTGATTCCCCATCCCCCTTTTGCTCTTTTTTCCTACTCTATGGTAACATGGTTGGTAGCTTGCTGCTTTTGTAGGTTATGTCAAAATAAACTAATTTGTGATGCTATACCATTTATAGGATTGAACGGCTGGAATTGTTTGATGAATTTGAAGAGTGGTACATGATGCAGGTGAGTCCTTTTTCTATTCCTGCAGTTAGGTGCTGTATAATGTCTGAATTCTCTTCTATAGATTTTGCTGGGGCTTTGAAGGGTGGGCCTAGACCAGAGTTGATTTTCTCTCTCATTTGAAGTTGAGGTGTGAGTTGCAGTAGTCATTGTTTCTTCTATTTAGGAATCAATGGTCCGAGTTGAAAAATAAATATGAAATTTTTTATGTGATCATTAGCCCAGTTTAATGCAAGCAATCGGTGACATGACCCACAGTCAATAACATGATTTGCTATCAATAGTGATGAGTTCCTCTTATTTCTTCCACTACTACTATCTGAATTTTCTTCTCATCTCCTGTACTATTGAATTTCAGGAGCATTACTGTGTGGCTTATGCAATCAATGATGGCATGGTATGTTCTTAATCATTCTTGTTATGTCCTATGTATCAAATTGGTAATCGTATCTTAATATGAATATGATATAACAAATTGTTTAAATCAATCCACAAATTAATTGACATGTGGCTTTGTAATGTCGAGGTCTAATTATTTAGGGTAGCATTTTCTAGCTAGCTTTGAATCTGATGTTGAGATGAAGGGATCAATGTGGATGGGAGCTAACATGATTGAGCTTAATTGTAATTTTTGCCCCTCATGTTGTACGATTTTACCATTTTGTCATCTAACTTTAAAATGCATATTTTGTCACTTAATTTTCAAAATTTTGTAATTTAATTTATAAATAATTATAATAAATTAAAATCGAAGAAACTATATATTAATAAAAGTTTGTAAAAGTTTACGTAAAATTTAATAGTAAGATTAATGAAAAAATTAATTTTTATTTTATTTTGTTAGAATATTTATTTTTAAGTGTGGAGGTTATAAAACTATTTATTTATTATTGAATCCATCTTCACCAATTGTTCTGTTATTACTTAGGCAAAACCTAAACACAGAGAACAACCATGACGGAAGCGGTGGCCGATTCACGCAACAATGCATCGGTGCAAGCCACTAACGATGACGCTTCAGCCAGTAAATTGTACGTAAATCTCACTTTTTTTTTTTTTAATTTTTAATTATTCATTATTAAAAGCTTTGGGTTGTTCTAACATCTCGCGCAATGTTGTTTTTTACCCTTTCATGTTATTGTTAATTTTAATTTTTTCTTGTCGGAGACATTTTATTTATTTATTTTTATTTTTATTTAAATTATTCTCTAGGATTTTGTTCATTCGGCGCCATTGTACGGACTAAGGAATAAAATTCTTGAATTGATGAGATTTTGTTGTTTTTTTTAAGATACGTTTTTTCCACTCCTTTTAAGTAGATTGGGTTTTGGATTTTGCTCATTTGCCACCGTTGTAGGAAACTAAGATTTCATTTTGTTTAGTTTGTGGGAATTGCTTCATTCTCTTAATTGATGACCAAGACTCTATTCAGATAAACTTCTCCATAAGCATTTATAGCAGAAGAAAACAAGAAGATAAAATGAAATATAAGCCAAGTTAAATGAGAGAGCTTCTATAAAAGTTAAAATCATAGGTTGATTTTAGCTTATGCCTGAAGCTCAATTCATTTTACATTCTTATTTTCTTCACCTATAAGTGCTTATGGAGAACCGGAGAAGTTTATTAAAACAGGACCATTGTCTTTTTTGGTCTTTTACTGTGAAATTTTAATGCTTTATCTAAACTGGTGTACCCAGTTTTATCTTCTTTGGTGCTTTCTCAAAACCATTGTCAAGGGGTGATGCAATAAAAATGTTGCATTTGCACCTGCGGAAGATGAATATTACAGAAGGTTAAGTTAGATGGTCCCTATTGCATAAGCACCAATCAAGATGAACCTTGTCTCAGTACTGGAAAGCTCTAGAGTGATGGAAACTGCTTTTGGTTTTTGAAGGAATGTAACTGTGTATTGCGTGTAAAGAGAATTTTATTTATTCATGACATGGTTTTGAGGGAGCATTGGCTGGATAAATTACTTTTATTGGAGTGGCTGTGAAGTTTTATATTATGAAACAAACTCAATGAAACACTGTTATTGTCTCTCTCTGTTTTGTTTTTGGTTTGTTCAAATGCTATTATGTTATACTTATACCATTTATATTCTTTAATTGATAACAGCTTGGTTTAATTTTACATGTTAAAATAATACGTTAACCTATCACATATGTAATGTGTGTGTTGAGAAACCACACACTTTAGAAAGGAAAATTGATAGTGTCTTTTAATTTGTGTATTTCTTCCAAGTTAAGATCTGTGTGGCATGGTTTGCTCAAATCTCCAACATGGGTCGTTAATGGCCCAAAACATTGCTGTGAGCATTCCAAACTTAAACATAGTAGTAATAAAAACAAGCACAATAGGATGTGTTATGGACAGTTGACACAATGAATTAAAAGACCTCTCGTGGCTGCCAGTTGCAGGGTTGACAGAAAAAAAAGACAGGGTGCACCAAGTGAGGATACAGAATTGCTGAGAGGAAGAAAATGAAAACCTAACCTAATACCCCCAATTATATAAAATGCATAGTATCATTTAGTTTTTTTTTTCCCCTTCTATTTTACAAATAAAGTAGGTTTTAATGTCTAATATTTTAAATTTGGCTAGCCCATTTATGCTGGAGAAGAAGCAGTATAGAGTTTGAAACATATGTATAAAAATTAGTGAGTAAAAAATAGGTTTTAAAAAACGTGTTTATTATTTGACCTTTTTCTAGTTTTAGGAACTAATATGTCAGTGTCTTCCAATTTCAAGGACTAAAACCATTGTTTTATCTTTCTAAAATTGAAAAATGGGTCTATCCAAACTATATTTTCACCACTTAATAGTATAGACTGTAGTTCATGCATAATGAATCAATTATCTAACTTTAAATGAACTTTAATCCTTAGTAACAATCTGATTAGGTCTAGCCATCCTCTCTGTGTACTGGAAAAAGTCCCGTTCCGCATCACAAGCCTAGTAACAGTCTATGTAATATTGCTTCTGATAATGGAAATATTATTCGTATTCATTTTCAGTCATAAATTTTCGTCTTGTATTCAGTTTTCATCAGAGTTCAAATGAATTATAATTGTTATTCTTACATGATGGTTATTTGCTCTCCATAAACTGTCTGTAGGTCATGTGTAAAAAAGGGATACATGAAAGATGATTATATTCATTTATTTGTGAGAAGGCCTCTGAGGAGATCTCCAATTATTAATCGTGGTAGGATTTGGCTTTTTTAAGGATTTTACTTGTTTAGGTACCTACCCTTCAACATGTTAGTTTATTAATGCATTTTTATTGTTTGATTATGAAGGCTACTATGCTCGTTGGGCTGCTTTTCGGAAACTTCTCTATCAGTTTCTTGATGTTGATAAAAAGGCTGATGGAGATGCCCCAATAAAGAAGCAGATATTATCACTTGGAGCAGGCTTTGATACAACATATTTTCAGTTGCAGGTACCTGATTTTCCTTATAAATTGTACTGTACAAGCTGTGCTTAAAAGTTAATCTACGTGTGCCTTTTAAGCTATAGGTTAGCTATCCTTTTGGAGCCTTGCAGGTTAAGTGAAGATTTGGATAGAACTAATATTGATCCAATGCTTTTGCATATAAATATTGGTGAACTTTTATTACGTTGTGTTTTAAAAGGACATGAAGACACTTTTGATTTCATTCTTGTTGGTGCTCTTGTGCTAACTGCTTGCTGCTTTTGCAATCTCAATTGTTAAGACTGAATGTCATACTCTAGTACACAAGATGCAGACATTGGGTGCCTGAATTATTTTGAAACTTAAGTTCTTGATGCACAGATGTATTTTAGCTGAAAATCTTTTATTTTTATTTATTTTTATTTTTGTTGTGGACTGTAACCTCCTTTCAGAACTGGGTGGTGTTAGTTATACAAGTTTGTTTAAAGAAAAATATAGACAATGTATGAGGAGAGGTATGAATCTGGATGAATAAATAGTGTTTAAATTACTTATTACCTGTTAATAAATTTCAAGGCTTTTAGACTTGTCTTTTCTTATAATTTTAAGTTGAATTACTGAGATGTGGAATATTATAATACATGTATATGTATGCCAGACTCTATCCATGCCTTGTGAATTCTCTGTGATTGGCTCTTTTGCTTTCCCTTCTGTTTCTGTTCTTGTTCTCTTTGCTTTTCCTATGTTTATTCTGATGGCTCCAAAAATAGTGCGGTTATTGTTGGTGTTGTGCTGTTTTGTAGGGCTAAAAATGATCTCATACTTTGCCAAGTTTTTGGTGTATATTTATTTCAATTATGATACAGTAATATGCGTGAATCATACTTTATTTATAAGCTTAAACAGTTAACTTAATTTGTTGTATAAGTAGTGTAAAGCTTCTGTGTTTCCTATTATCTTTAATCTCATTGTTGTTTTGTTACGTTAGATTATAGAGTTATTGTTGCCTTCTACTGAAAAAAAATGCTTTCTTCTTTAACCTATGCACGTCAAAGATGCAAAAATATATTTGTATGCAGCTTAATTGGATTCTTTGGCTGCTTTTCAATAGCCTCCATATGACTCTGGATGTAGTTGGAAATTGTGAAACCTTTTACTTTGTTACCCTTTACCATTAGTTCCATTTTTTTCTTAGCAAACTGTTTGCTTAGCTTCACTGAACTAGTGTTGTGCTAATTTTACAGCTGTGTTATAACTTAAAAATCTTTTCTTGGCAGGATGAGGGGAAAGCGCCATATTTGTATGTGGAAGTGGATTTTAAGGAGGTAGAAACTTGTATACTCATCTAATTTTTAGTTGCCAATGCAACCTATATTTCTAGTTGTTTATGGGTTTTGAGTTGGATTGGTTATACATATTTTGTCTAGAAACTCATGTTTAATACTATCTGTGTTGACTAAGGTTATATTTAATTGACTAAAATTACATCTAATTACAAAATAAAGGGAGAACAAGTTTTTTAGATTTTTTAAGTGGAAAGTTTTTAACTGCAACTATTAGTATAGAAATTTAAACTACTATTGTATTTGTAATCAAGGTAACTAGTAAAAAGGCAGCTCTTATTGAGACTCACAGTCAATTGAGGAATAAACTTGGTGAATTAGCAACCATATCAAGAGGTAAGGGTCATTTTCTGATGTTTTTTGTTATCTTATTTCAGTGATGTCCTTTTCTTTTCTGGTAGCACATGGTGACAGAGTGCCAATATAAATTTAGAGTTAAAAATCTCACCTGTTAAAGTTTTCAAACCCTAGAGATTTTATCCCCCTAGTTTTGTAACTATTTCCTCTCATCGATTCTTTAAACAAACAAGTGAAAGGAAAATGCATATAATGATACCAAGAGGGATGGTGGTACTTTAAAGGATATTTTAGTTTCTTATAAGGTGCAATAAAATATTTATAAATTCCAAAAGCATTATATTTATGGTTGTCAATCTTGAGTGACAACTCATAATAACTATCGAGTTAACGAGATTGGTCATCCCCACCTATATAACTTGGAAGCAAACTCGTTTTTTGAGCAATCTCGTGTAATATCACCCAATCTTGAGCAATCTTGTCTCCTCTATTGCTAAAAGCAAAATTTAGTCTTTTCCTAGTTTTTATTTGTTGTCATTTTAAGAACTTGTGTCTTGTGTGAAATTTTGCATGATTTGCTAGTAAACATTGCTACTTTAATATTGTAATTTGCTATTTTACTTTAATATGGATTTGAAATGTTGAGTTATTATGTTATTTATAAGTAGTATAACATATTCTTTATATTAAGTAAACTCTTACAAGTTTATGGTTCGGGTTTACAGGGTCTCAACAAAATTATGTAAACTCTCGAGATTGAGAACCTTGATTATATTTATTGATTGTTCATTATAATTAAAAAAGTCTATAATTAATTTCACAAATGCTTGAATTTCAATTTTTTTAAATAAATTCTCTATCTAAACAAAGCATTTTACTCAAAAGTATTTCAAATTCTTCAAAATAATGAATTACTCTCTTAAAATCCCCCATCCAAACACACTTTAAATAAATTATCTGTGAGGAAAGTTGGAGTTGGGACCTAGACCCATAAAGTAATCTGTCAAGTTAAATTAGATAAAAATAAATTGCATGATTGAGAAAAATGCATTGATGAACCAAAAGCTCTGCAAAAGGCTAGATAAACTTTGATTCAGCCACCAAGCTTAATCTTAGAACTACAAACATTTGAAGAACTGACTTGTAGCATTTAATGGATGATAAAATCAATATGAGCTTTTCATTGTGATTTTCTTGAAACATCATTAATGAAAATTAGAATGCATGATTGCTTATAATCTGAACTGATGCTTTTGATGTCTCATTCTCTGCCAGAGAAAGGAGAAGTTGTCAGTGCTCATTATAAACTAGTCCCTGCAGATTTGCGTTATGTACAACAATTAAATGATATTATATCTGTTGCTGGTATGGATCCAAGGTATGTATGGGGAGTCAGATCTGTCTCTGCCTGTGTTCTGTCTGTCTGTTTCAATTTCTCTCTCTCTCTCTCTTGTACAGATGTAAGTTGTGAAATTTGTTATTATTCCAATGCAATTGATAATTTATTTGAAGATATCAGACCCTTCTAGGAAAAGAATAAAAAACTCCTTAGAATCTGAAAGTTTAAATAAATAAGGATTACAAAGACTTAGCTGTACTGATATCTTATCCTTTGCTTCTTCTGTACTTTTCTTTCTCGTCTCTAATGAATTTTGTCTCTTATATTGTTTTAATAAAAGATAATGCTTCTGATTTTAATATTTGGGCCACAGTATTGTGGTTCATTAACAGCTTAAAATTATACAACTTAAAAAAGTTCCTTAATGCCTGTGCCATTGATAGAGTTAATTTGTTTCTTAGATAAATTTCAGAGAGAAAATGTTAAACTGGAAATGAAGTTTTCATTTTATTCAACCCACTGAAAACAGAATACAGAGGGAGCATAGCTACCCTTATTGGTACAGCTGTAAAAAGCTGATTACAAAAATAACAAACTATGACAGCTGGCACAACAAACCTACTAGAATATTCTATTGTTATAATGGGTGCCTATATTTTATTTATTGATGGCTTTCTAAAATTGATGCACATCCTACATTGACATCTTTCTTTGGAACCAAAAGAATGAGGATGGCACAAGGGTTAACGTTCTCTTGAATCTAGCCCTTCCTTCTCTCCAAAGGAAAAACTCTTTTCTTTTCTTTTCTTTTAATTTTTGTTTTTATTTTTCTCCTTTTCATCTTTCTTGGCTTTCAATTTGAGTTGGTCTTCATTCACTTGAGAGGGTGATAGACGAAACCATACAAATTTCTTACCCAAGTGTTGGAAACTTATTTTATTTGTGAGGCCATCATGGATTATTTTCTTGTCAAATTGCCAAGGCCTCCCAAGCAAGTCATGACTAGCCTCCAATGGCAGTGGGGCACACAAAACTTCTTCTTTATATTTGCCAATGAAGATTGGTATGCTTGCTTGTTGGCTAACTACAACACCACTTTCCTCATTGATTCATTGCATTTTATAAGATTTAGGATGAGGTTTTGTAGTTAAGGCTAGCTTATCAACCAATCTAGTACTACAAAAATTGGAAGTAGACCCACTATCTACAATGAAAGAACAAGTGTTTTCTAGAACCTTACATCTTGTGTGAAATAAGTTCTCTCTTTGAGATTGGTCAATTTTACTAGATTGATTGCTAAAGAGCCTTCTAACCAATAATAAGTCTCATTCACAAGGTAAGATTTCTTCCTCGGAATCTATGGCTTCATCTTCACTACTAGAGGAAGATGAAGTAGCTTCATCAAGGCTACTATAGTGATCTTGGGCTTTTAAAATCATGGTTTTCTTTGTAGGACATTGAGAAGCAATATGTCCTCCTCCAAGACACTTGAAGCACTTAATTTCACTTGACTTAGATTCTTTGGAAGGTGCTTTGAGAGACGATTTTTCTTTTTCTTTCTCTTTTTCTTTTTCTTTTTCTTCCTTAGAATAAGGTTGGGAAGAGTGGACCTCCTTCTTAAAACTCTTAGAATAAGAGGAAGTGGAGTCTTTTCGAAAAGTTTTTCTTTTAAGTTGATGCTCCACTCTTAAACAAAGTTGAACAAGTTCATTTAAATCTCTATAAGGCAAAATTTCAACTTTGTCTCTTATTTCAAGACTAAGACCACTTTGAAATATAGAAATGGTGGTCCTCTCTTATTCCCTTATTCTAGCCCTTATCATAAGTAACTCCATTTGTTGCCTATATTCCTCCACACTTGATGACCCTTGTTTCAACCTTTGAAGCTTATCCATAAGCTCACGGTCATAGTATGGGGGAATATGCCTCCTTCTTAAGGCACTACGGAGTTCATTCCAATATTGTATTGGGGGCTCATGATGCAATCTTCTTTCTTTTTCCAAGGAGGTCCAACAATACATAGCATGCCCTTGGAAGCTAAGGGTTGCCAAAGAAACCTTTTTCTCTTCACTGATTCCCTGGCAAGAAAAAAGTTGTTCAACTTTCATTTCCCAATCTAAATATGTTTCAACATTGTCTTTGCCATGAAATGAGGGAAGAGTAATATTGGGTTCCTTATTGGAAGACTCCATTGTTCTTTGTGTTCTTGGTGGCCTTTAATAGTAATCATCATTGTGATGACTACTATAATGGCTATCACTTGGGGGGTTTGTAGGGTGTTGACTACCCTCACTTTCACTTCGAGGGGTTCTCACCCCATTGCCTCTTTGGGGCCTAGTTGGGGGAACCCTTTGGTTGGATCCCCCAACTCCCCCCCATGACTAGTTTTGCTAGCATGTCTTTTATTTCCTTATTGTTTTTTCATTTTCTCTCTCTTTTCTCTTATACTCTTCCTCTCTTTTTTCATTTTATTCTTCTTTTCTTTTTATGAACTCCCTAAGTTCTCTAAGTTCATCCGTAAGACTATGTCTACTACTATAAGTATTTTGACCCCTTACACTTGAATGATCACTCATCTTTGATCAAGAAAGGTTTTCACAAAGCGGTTCTTGAAAATATTTTCACAAAGAGTGAGTGATAAAAGGTTTTCACAAAATATTTTTGAGGGCAAGAAAAATGATAGGAGGCCTAAGTGCACAAAGTGAACTATCAAGGGAGGTGGACTACAAAGAATCTTTTAAAAACCAAGCCTTTTCAAGTAGAAATCACTAAGCCCTTTTTCACCTTTCTCACAAAAACAATTTTAGCACAACAAGAGTGAGTGTGTGTTCAGACCCCTAGTAGGAAACTTTAGAAGCCTCTAAACGAACATACAACAACCTAAGGAATTATGCTAACAACTAAGAGAACTAAAGGAAAGCAATAAAACATATACTAGTCGGAAGTCCTAGGGTGGAAGCTTGAAGTAACCTTGGGGGTTTTCAAGACACTTCCACAAGTACTAAACGAAACTACTCCTAAAACTAATTAATTTAAGAGGCCAATTACAACCCAATTGAATGAATAAGGACCAAGATACAAGTGGTCCACTCAAAAACAACACAAATAGGCGCAAAAACATGAGTAAAGAAATAAGCAAGAAAATTCTTCAAACTCCAATTTGGTGCTCCCTTCATAATGAACAAACTTGGTTAGCTTCCTTCCAGTGTGTTTCGAACTCTATGTTTGTAAGGAATCCCTCCCAAAGCTCTTTGAAATTCATGGCCAACTCCTCCAACTCAATCTTCCCCAAAATTGCTTGGAAATGTGGAAGTAGGCTTCATCTACACCAAGTGAAACAAACCACCAAGAGCAAGAAAGGAGGCCAAAGAAATAAAAACTAAAAATGCTCAATTAGGAAGGCTAAACTCAAGGGGAATATTGATGAGACAAAACACAAGGAGTTCCAAGAAAGACAAGCAAAAAATTAAGGCACTTTTAAGAAGGCAAGCACTCAAAGGGAAATCTTAGAAGGTTTCTAGAATAGAATTAAGTGTTTAGTGTTCCTTGTCCTTAAAATTAATGTGAGGTCTTTTCCTTAATGTCCAGCCATAGTTTTGGTCATAAAATGCGTCCAAATATGGGTCCAAAAATGGTCAAAGTCCAACTCCAAGTGTTCAAGGGTATAATGGTAATTGTCCACAAGTCTAGCAACAATTTCCTTTTGAATTTTTTTTTTCTCTTGTATTTTTCCAGCCAGCTTTTGGTGGAGCCCCTTGATCGGTTTTTTTTTTAATTTTAACCTTGTTAGTTTCTTGGCTTTTACACTTGTGGGTGAATTAAAAGTAACACAAAAAAATAGGAGACAAAAAGGACAAGTGGCATGCAAAAAGCAACTTTTGTAAGGTGGAATGTGTCTTATACTATGTACTAATTTGTTGCAGTTTCTTTCAGCAAACAAACACACATTTTTGGCAGATTTTTTCAGCACAAAACATTACTTTGACAAGGGACAATCATGTGATGATGAGCATGTAGGGGTGGCTAACCATGCATGTATAGGAGACAAATTCACATGGAATTCAACAAACTTTTAGAACATGTCATGAACTAAATAACATGCATGAATGACCTCTAAGAACATGCAAAATGTTTGGCCAGCCACTTAGGAGAGGAAACATGCATCATTCATTTCCATATTACATGCATCAAGTGAAGGTATCATGCATATACTTGGTATTTGGGTGAAAAAGTGAGAGAAACACAAACTTGAGACAAAACTTGGACAAATAAAGATTAAAATGGGGTTCATAAAGTGTTCATCATGTTCTTGACAAAATTTTCCAACAAAGGTGAAAATGGAGAAAAGCACACAAGAACCTATTTTAAAGGAAACCTAGAGCACAACAAAGGAAGGCTCATGAACCACTCAACAAGAAGATAACATTTTAAGAAATATTTGAGAGGATAACATCAAGACATATGAGAAGACATAGACATGACAAGAAACATTTAGAAGACACAAAAGAGAAGAGACAAGTTACCCTTGAAGACAACCATGGCTCTCATACCACATGATGGAACCAACTTCTCCATGAGGGCTAATGGTTGATTCCTTCTCTTCTCCAAGGTTGAGATGACATGAAGGGTGATCTCTTCAAGGGTATGGAAGTGGTGGAGATGGTGTTTAGGTAGGTGAAGGTTGACGCACAAAATGGAGGAGAGGAAGCGAAGGTGTTTTGTGGTGTAGCTTCTTTAGGCTAGCTCACTTCACTTGGGATGATGAAGGCCAACCAAGGAAGACCCAAGCTCACTAAAGGAAGAGAGGATAGGATAGGGGGACATGGAGTTCCTAGGGGATTAAGGAAGGAATAAAGAGGCACAAGGCTCACTCAATATCATTAATTTCCAAAGTGGCTACAAGGTGGGTGACCTAGAGTACTTATAGAGAAAGAAAAGGCATCTAGGGTTTCTTGGGAGCATTTGGCCGAAATTTTTAGGTCCAAATACACCCTAAATTAATCCTAAATGCATCCCAAATGAAATGGCTCATATCTCTCATAAAATACTAAAGTGCCCTTAGGTCTAGAAAAAAAAAAAGAAATGGACTTTGACCTTCTAAATTAAGGTTTAAGTCCTAAAATAAATCCTAAGACTAATTTTGCCCCATAATACAAAGGCTAAATAAAAATACAAAATAAAATCCTAATATCTAATGTACCCCAAAATACAAGGGCAAAATAGGAAAAGAAAGCAACAAACTAAGGAGAGGACTCAAAATCTGCACACATGATGATCATGGCTCCTGGTATGGTGTGTTCTTCATCTTCCTCTACCCTCCTAGCCATGGACCTTGTGATAGGCCCTATATGATGCTTCAAGCATCTTCTGCTACCACTTGCAGGGGCCTCTTTCTCAAGTATAGGCTTAGTTGCAAGCTCAGGTGTAGGTATGTCAATCTGTTTGCCAGACCTCAAGGTGATGGCACTCTCATTCTTTAGATTCTGCACAGCCTGTGAAGGAAGCTCAAAAGCAACCAACCAATATGATCCTTCGTGCTTTCGACAGATCTTAAAGGGAAGTGATGGGAGAAGTTATCTTACCCATCCAAGTAGGTCCTAC